AGTTTGTGAAGAAGGCAGGGTCTCCAGTTTGAGGGACTATGCGAGTGTTGGGAACTAAGTGAGTGCTATGAGCTGGAATAGGTAGAGGGCACAGTGGCACCTCTGCAAGATGCAGAGAGGGGTATTGCAGAAAGAGTATCCATTCTGATAACAGGTAGACTCTTGCGTTTGGAGGAATCTGTATAACACAGTTTGAGAAAATATCTTGTGTTTTGGATAAGCTGCTTCAGCTTGGATGTGTAGCATTTATTGCCCTGGTACCTCACTGCTTCTTTTTTGAAACTCAGTCACTAGCAACAACACAATATGGTGTCTCTTGGTTTAGCTCACACTTAGTGATAGGGAGCTATAGGCGCAGCATCACAGACCTATAGCTTCGCTTCAAAGGCTACACACAGGCGTTGCCTGGGCTGGACCCTTTTGAATTGCTTAAAGCCATTTGAAGGAGTAGAGCGTTTTCCTAGCCAGCTCTGGTGTGTATCCGTACATGTAAGTAGGGAAAAGGTGGACCAAAATGGAGGCAAATTGTCTTCTTTCAAGGGGAGACATCTTGATGGTCCTTCACACATAAATTTCAGGATGGCTTTTCTAGCTCTATGAGGAATGTTGTTGGTATTTTGACTCAAAGTGCATTAAATCAGTTCATCATTTTGGGAAGGATGGTCACTTTGACAATATTATTTCTTCCTATATAAGAACCAGAGACACCTTTCCATTTTCTGATGTCCTATTCAATCTTCTTTTTTAGAGTACTGTAAATTTTGTTGTAAATGTCTTTCACATCTTTGTTTAAATTTTGTGTGTTTAATTTTTCTTATTACTATTGTGAATGGTATTTTTTTCCTAGTTACTTTTCCAGTGACTTAATTATTGGTGCACTTGAATGCTGATGAGTTTTGTGTGTTGATTTTGCATCCTGCTTAACTACTGAAATTGGTTATTAATGCTAAGAGGGTTTTCTGGTGCAATTATTTGAGTCTTCCTTATAGAGCATCATATCATCTGCAAATCATGATAATTTGACTTCTTTATTTCTTATACATACCCTTTTTCTTTCTCTTGCTTGATTGCTCTGACTAACATTTCAAGTACTATGTTAAACAGAAAAGGTGGTAATTGCCATCCTTATCTTGTTATTGAATTTAGAGGGAAAGCTTTCAGTTTCTCCTTATTTAAAATGATGCTGCCTTCAAATTTATAATAAATGAGTTTTGTAAAATTAATTTCCTTCTATATCTATTTTATTCAAGGTTTTTGTAATGCAGGGGTGTTGAATTTTGTCAAAAATTTTTCTGGCATAAAATGAGATGGTTGTGTAATTTATTTTTCTTTTCTTCTGTATATGTAGTGTATTATATTTATTGATTTGCACATTTTGTGTAGTTTTGTAAATCTGGGGTGAAATCTACTTAATCATGATATAGATCCTTTAGATTATATATCACATCTATTTGCCAATATCTTGCTAAGGATTTATTTTTGAATCTATGTTCATTAAGAAGATTGGCCTATAGTTCTCAAAAATTTAGTGGGGTCTTTGTCTGATTTTCAGGACCAAATTAATAGCTTTCAAAAATGAGTTTGAAAGCACTCCTTCTTTTTCAATTTTATTGAAGAGTTTGAAGAGTACTGGTGTTAAAATATCCTCAAAGCTCTTGCAGAGGTCAGCAGTGAATCCATCAGGTCCTGGATTTTTTTGTTAATTTTTTGTTAATTGTTAGGTTTTTAATTACTGCCTCAACTTGAGTGTTTATACTAAAAATCTTGAATAGCTAAGATGAACTTTTAGGAGAACAGATATAGAGACCACTAACCTAAAGCAAACAGAAGGAATAAACATGTAATATCAATAAGATAGAAAATTAATGTAACAAGGAAAGACAAGTAATAAAAATCAATGAAATAAAAACCTACTTCTTTTGAATTATGAACAAAACTTTAAATAAAGTGATGAAAAATAGAAATCTGCTAAAATCTTTAATGAAATGATTATCAATATGTACCTTCTAGAAATGGAAAGGATTTTTTTCTGCCTTTCCATATGTTCTTTGTCTTTTAATGACAGGAATTATTTCTTAGTAATATTGAATTAATCTAAAGATAACTTTATTAGAATTAGGGTGTTCTGCTATATATTTCCATTGGTTATATTCTATTTCAAAAATGCACAATCTTTCTGAGAAGATTCTGATTCTGAACAGTATTGTATCTATCACCAATGATTCCAAGAAAACTGGGTATTATATATAATTGACATTAAAAAGTGTTTTTGCTTGTGTAGAAAATATAAAAATTAGAATTATTTACATGTCAGTTATGAATGACTACAAATAACCCTTGAAATTTCAAAATATTCATTTGTTAACAATCTTACACAGATGAAGTGATAAAAATATAATTGGTAGTAGTTATCCCACTACACATGCCAATTAACCTCTACCCTAGGTGTTGCTATTAGAATATAATAATAGATTTCTGATGTAAAGATCATTACAAACTAAGCGATATCTCAAAAAAGTAATTGAAAGGAATAAGAGCACAATAATATTCTATGAAGAATATATGGTCGTACATAGCATCAAGAAGAGAAAAAGTAAGTGCTGAAATATAAAGGTGAGAATGTGTTTATCTAAATTACGCTGTTATACCTCTAATCCGCACCAGTGAAACTGGTGGCCTTAGGGTTGCAGGCTACAAAGCTTCTCTTCAGCAGGTTCCCCTCACTGCCTTGTGCTCTCCTCAGTACATGTTCCATGTCTTTGGTGTGTCTAACTTCCTGGGGTTCCAACTTCACATTTGGCTTCATCTTTACAGCTTCATTTACCCACCTTTCAGGGGTACACTGCTTGGAGACCTTCTTTTGAAATCTGGATAGAAGCCTTTATAATCCCACAACACTTGCATTCTGCATGCCTGAGAAAACAGCATGATACTATGGTCTACTGACAACTTGCACAGTTGCCAATCCCTCTTGGAACATCTTTAGTAGCAGCGTGTAAATGACTGTATGGGCGAGCATGGTGAAATGAAATCCAGGGAGCCAATCCCCTAATCCTTCTGAGCAGGGTACCCAGGGGCTCTTCTCAAGTTACCAGTTTACATTCCCCATACCCTTTAGATTTCAGTATGTGGAGTCTTATTGATTCTTGAAATGTTCTCAAAAAAATTTTTTTTGTTACAGTTCAAAGTACTTGATGGCTTTATTATGGTTTATGGTGTTATTCTCTTAACCACAACTTCTTTGGCTCCAAATTTACATATGCTTCTTTGCAGGCCAAAATTTAAGTTTTTAAAAATCATTATGCAATTAGTGAACTACTTTTAAATTCAGCCTCACATAAATTCTTAGAATTTGGGAAAAATATAGATTTTTTTTTCAGAGTCCAGTTCTCCACAGAGTGATCAACCCAGTCTGAAACCTCATGAACTTAACCTCTATCTTCACATTTCTTTAAACGTTTGGGTCTTGGGAGCTCTGAGTAGAACTGTCCATCAGTCTGTGCTTACAAGACTCTAAGCTTTGCTACTTCAAAAATCCTAACCTTTCCAAAATCATTCCAAACCTTCTCCAGATAATTTTGAAAGACCTTTGAATGACATGGACAGGTATATAATCACAGCAACGACTCCACCTGTCTAGTAATGATTTTCTATATTGGTCAGTATTCCTGTTGCTAGACAAAATACCTGACACTTTCAACTTCCATTGGAAAGATTTAATTTGACTCATGGCTTCAGAGGCATCATTACTTACTTGTCTTATTCAAGGCAAAAAACATCATGGCAAATGTGCATGATGGAACAAACTGCTCACATCACAGGGACTAGAAAGCAAAACAGGTGAGTGCCAGAGGGGATGGAGCCAGGGACTAGATATAATACTAAGGGAATGCTTCCATGACACAATCTGGACACATCCAGAAGTGTGCTGTACTAATCCCCCAGGCTACTCTTAAACCAGTCACACTGACAACTGAATAAATATCTTACCTTCATAGAACATCAGAGATAAGGAAGGTCATGTGGATACTCCCTTCCTTTTTTCTTATTTCCTACATAGTTTATATAAAGCCAAATACAACATTAATTTGTGGATGAAACTGCAGTCCTATATTTCTGTACTCTTTCTTATTTGCCATACAATGTTTTCTGATAATAGTTATAAATATTTTCATGATCACTAAAGAAACACTGAAATTTTTTTCTAAATACTATTAGAAATAACTGACATGTTTTAGTTTCAGAATCTTCTAATTAATGTAGTTATTTCAAAGGAGAAAGAATGGACTTATTAGAAGAAGGAAACAGTTTATCTTAATACTAAGTGCTAAGAAGTCTATGCATAAAAATGAAAGTTTCATTTTTAGCATCCAAATTCCTTCATACACATAGACTCCTACTGAAGGTCATATTTATTATGAAAATATTGGTGTTTCTTACACATGAAAATTTTCCAATGTTCATGTAAGTGATATTCAAAAATGTTATAATTTCAGAAAACTTATATCTTCAGAGCCTACCTGATAAAATTTCTATGAAAATTATTTCTATGAAAACTATAGGAAGACATTAGATACATTTATAAAACATTGAAAACATGCATATGTCTAAAAATTAAGTGTAAAATACAGTGTATATCCTAAAGTTAGAGCTAATCAGTAAAGATTTAATGAAATAGAGAACAGCTGGGCGTGGTGGCTCAGCACTCAGGAGGCTGAGGTGGGAGGATTGTTGTGAGTTCGAGTCCTGCCTGGGCTCCAAAGTGAGCTCAAGTCCAGCCTGAACTGCATAGTGAAACTCCATCTCAAAAAAGACAAAAAAAAAGGAAAGAAAATAAAGAACAAATGAGGAAATATGACTATTTGAGAAATAAAAATATTGTAAGTTCAGATAACTTTTATTTTAGTAAGCAATACAAATACAACACAATGAAATATGTAATAATCAACAACAATTACTTATAGTAAATATAAAATGTATATAGACATCAATAAATCTTGGAATGCTAATGGAAAATGATTTATTTAAATTTGTCATGAATATTGATAAATATAAAAAATATGTAAAAATATATTCATATACTAAAATTCTAAAATCAATCTTATAAATGAATGAATTTGACATTATTATAGACTAGAAGCAACATCTCATAGGATTTATGAATACTGGATTTAGACATAAATAATTGCTGTAATTCTACCAGTTGTGGCCACATTTGTTAACTCTGAAAAATGTCCATTATCTGTAAAACTGGGGCATTATTCACCCTAAAATATGTATGTATCTAATATATGCATCTCTGCCTCCTGTCCTCCTCCTCCCTTCTTCCCTTCTTCTGTCCCTTTCACCCCAAGGTACATACTCTCAAGACCTTGCATACAAAAATGTGCAGTAGACTTTGTTGTTGTTTTAATAAAAATGTGCAGACTTCTTCCTTTAGTGCATTTTAATCTGGTAATATTTGTAAGGACTCCCATATTCAATAAGGTGAATCTAAAATCCTACTTTGTCTGCAGACTTATAAGAATAAAACATTAGCAGAAAAATATGACATGTTGTGATTATGAAGAGTCCAAGTGTATTAAGAATTCATTTTGAAATACTGAAAATCACTTTGTAAATTCAGTTACTGTAGAACTAAGATTGAATAACATACTTACACACTTAACATAAATTCATTTTTCTGTTATATAATTGCATTGTTATTTTTTAGTTTGAGAATTATAGAGAAGACATCTTCATACATGCATTTTAATGAATATTTACACTAAGAAATATCTCAAAAATATTACTTAGGTAATCTGAGAATTGTTAGGGAATAACTTTAAAATATATTTTAAATTATCCAGAAGGTTCATTAGATTTCCTTCTGTGTATGTGATTTTTATCCAAAGTAAGGATCATAAAGTACAATTACCTACCTGGGTCACATATTTACAATGTTTCCAAATTGAAATTACTTCTCTTTAAGCACATTTTTTGATGCACAGATCATAACTTTCATGCATAAATGAACATAAACAACATACAATGTATACTGTTTATAAAAGAAACAGCAGAATTGAAAAAAGGTGAACAGGAGTATTCACACTCAGGTAAGTTAAAAGCGGCATATTCTATCCTATTTCTCCCATTTAATACAGCCAAAAACAAACCAAAAAAAAAAAAAAAAAAAAAAAGAAAGAAAGAAAAGAAAAGAAAACCAGACAGGAAATAGAGCAACCATCTTCTGCTTCTCCTCAATAAGATATCACAGGCATCTAGGGTTGGAGGTCAAGGCCAGAGTGAAAGGAGCATCTTGCAGATGACTCCACCATTGAGTAGCACCTTCTCCAATTGTTGACTTTCCTAATGGGGTCTGCAGTCCTATCTCTCAGCACTGGGCAAACATTTCAGGAACCTCTCGAAAGAACAAGAAAAAGAGAAGAATTGAGATGAAGTAGTAGCACCTGGTGACGGCAGCCTAGTCTAGGGCTTGGTTTCCATTTAGCAGGGTAGAGTGATTCAAGAAACCAGCGCCAGAGGAGTTAAACTCAGATGAAAAATGAAGATACAACTGAGGAGAACAGGAGTGACCTGGTGTCTTAGTTACTTTTCTATCATTGTTTGGACAAAATACCTGACACTCAAAATTAGGAAGGAGTGTTTTATTTTGCTCACTGTTTCTGGAGGTTTCAGTACATAATCAGCTGTCTCCAAGATAGGGTGGCATGGCTGAGGGGCAACACTTCAGCAGCAGCCAGCAAAAGCAGCAGGAGTAAAAGGGGAGAGGACAAGCCTGTTTTCCTCCCTTACATTGTATGCAGGCCACTCTGCATATAACCCTATCTCTCAGGGCAAATGTAACACTTGCAAAATCTATGTGCCCTTCTCTTACACAGAATGAGGATATTTACAAAAAGGGCTCCTTGTCCACTGCTGAATCTCTTAGTTAAACTTCTAAACTTCTCAAGTTGACATAATGTATTGACTATAGCACCTGGTTAGCATGGCCACCCCACTGCACCTTTGCTTTCTCCTTGTGGGAGATTGTATAACACCTTTGTATGTCAGCCACATTGCTGAGAGGAAGACATCTCTGCAGGTCTTGGGGGCCCAGAACACAGCCCTGAGCTAGCTTGAACCTGACTGTCACAGGCAACTCCAAGTGAGCTGGTGACCTTGTTGCCTTCCAGCAACAACTCAAATTTATATAGGACTTGCAATATTTGAACAGAAGAGGTTCTAGTCAACTCATGCTGTTTGCTTCAGAGTGTAAACAGAGAATTGGGGTCTTAAAGTGACCCCCATAGAGTGCTAAGTAACCAGGAAGAGGTCTCTTTGGTCTCCATTCAAGTATTCCAATAGGTTTTACCCCAGAGTCAGGTACTCTGCTTCAAAATGAGCTGTCTCAGATCAGCACCATGTGTGGGCCACCATGGGGACAGCCAGATGCAGCCTTTCCCCATGAGTCAGTGCCACTCACAGACTACAGCGGAAGAGAATAACAAATCACCAAGAAACAAACCCTCCTCGCAAAGCAGCACCACGCACAAACCACTGGAGGGTCAGCAGACCAACAGCCTTTTCCCAAGAGTCAGCATCATTCATGGATTGGGGGAGAAAAGAACAAGCAGTCAGGAAGAAAACACCCTCCCTATGTGTCAACATCATGCAAAGGCCACCTGGGGGACAGCCAGATCCTAGGCCCTTTGAGCACACAGGATGGGAAACAAGAAGAGCCAACTCATAGACAGCTGTTTTGAAGAGAACAAGAGACATATGGCAGCCATTGTTTGTTTCTCTGTCGTCTGGTTTTGAAAGCTTATAATGCCTTCATCACTCTGTTCTGATCAGTTTTACACTACTTTGTTTTGCATGAATTCATTGTGTGTGAAAATATAGACAACTACTTAGAAAAAACAAGAGACATTATGGTAGCCAGTGATGATCTCCTCTTGTCTTGCTTTGAAATCTGTGTCATTTACATTTTCTTCTGATAGGCTTTGTTCTATTCTGTTATGCTTAGTTTTACTCTCTTTAAAATAAAGTAAAATAAAAAAAGAAGGGCCAACTTGCTGCTCCCCCACCCCCATAATCTATCAGCTGATCTGGAGAAACACAGGCTGTGATGATACATATTGATGTGAAATGCAATTTGATGCTTGTGGTGTTTGGTGTTTCGCTGACTTTGCAGGTGTGGTGAGGGTAGTCTGATCATCTATTCAGAAGATAAAGGTGTGCAGTGTGGCATCCTGGCAAACCTCCTTCTGAAGGTGATGATCATTATTAATTCCCTATTATCTTGAAGTACTGTATCATTGTCATTGTTTTGTTGGCTTAGGTTTTATTCTGTTTTGTTTGATTTTGTTGCATCCTATTGCATGTTCAGCTGTTTTGAAGATAATAAGACATGTTATGGTAGCCATTTTAGATTTACTTAAAAAAAATGAGCTATCTCAGAAATCTGCAAAACAGCCATGAACATTCCTTCCCCAGCAAGTGTGACCAGTACACTATCTCATAGTCCTGGCCTTTGATCTTATCAGGAGGACGACAAGCATCATTAGCCTAAAGAAGACAAGGAGCCTAATACCCTATCTAAATCTTCCCCAAGAGTCTCTTCCCATACCTGTGTGCCTTATCTACAGCATTTTTAACTTCAAGAAACCCTTAGAAAGTTACTCTGCCTTTCCCAGGGAGAGTGATCCTTTCTTTAAGAACTCTGCTCCATGGCAGTGTTCTGTGCTCTAAAGTTCTCTTTTCTTGTACCCATCTAGGTAAATCCTTCACCTTACATGTCACTGGCTTTCCGTATTCCACTTCCAATGTCAGTCCTGGAAAAGCAGCAGGGACTTAACAAGGTACCTAGCTTTTTTTAGAAGAATCTGGCTCATTCCAGAACCCTGTTAGTGATGATAAGTCCTACCTGAAAAGACCCCACAGGGCTCTGCGTCTATGTAACTAAACTGCTTCACAGCTTAGAGGGAAGCCCTGAATCATGGGCAGAATCAGAGTTTGCCAGCATAGTGGGTACTAGAAGGAAGGATTAGTAGAGCCTGCTCGCAGTCATTGAAGGGTTTTACTGTACTTGGAAATCAATCTATACTACATGTTTTAGAACACCAGAGCAATTAGCAAACAAAGATAACATAACTGGCACAGTTCTAGACTCAGCTGCCTAAATCCTGCCTCTACTACTTCATATCCATGGAACCTTTGTTCATTTCTTCACATGGTTTCCTTTAACTGACTCATCTCTGAAACTGTGTAACTATTGCAAGAGTTAAAGAGTTAAAATGGAGAATTATATATAATCCATGTAAAGCATTAGAGAAATACTTGACATCACAGAAAGTACTTAGTGAAAGATGGTTTTTATTATTCCAATATTCGAGAACATTGTTCTTCTCAGCTCCCTGGCAGTTTCCCATGTTTTTCCTAGATACTACTATTCTAGCATCTAGATTTGAGCATGGCCTCATCTCAATTCCAGGACAAGCAGCATCATATGTTCTGTTTTGACAAGTGGAGATACACAGTCACTATGAGTGACATTTGCTCAGTGAGAATTGTGAAGCAATTTAGAGGTTTCGTTCTTTCTGAGCTTTCCTAATAATAGAATTTTTTCTTTGTATCACTGACATGTCCAACAATTTAAAAATGAAAGACATGGTTTTTGCAGTAAAATAAAGAAGTGGCATGTAAAAATGAAGGGTTGTAGATCAGGATCTGTAAAGCTTAGCTTATAGGCATAGACACATCATAAGTATATGAACTGGCCCTGTCACTTCTCTATCCTCATCTCTAAAGCTCTTCCCTGTTCTGCAAGATCAGTGTCACTGATCTTCCATTTCCTTGAAACAGCCGAGGTGTTTTTAGTCTTACAACTTCTACCTGTGAATTTCTCTGTGGCCCTTCAAAGTGGTGCCTCCATAATCGTTTCTTGTGGCATCACTATTGTTTCTCATAATACTTAATGTATTTGATGTAATGTAATGATTTAATGTAATGATTTTATGTAATGTAAATATTCCATAACTATATTGATATAATTATGTAATGTAATGATTTAATGTAATGATGATGTATACTGATGTAATGATGTAATGATGATCAATCTATATTGATGTAATACAATGATGTAATGTAGTGTAAATATTCCATAAACCTATATTGTTTAATATGCACATGCTTATAATGTATTTAATTAGTATAGTATATTATGCACATTTAACTGTCTGTCTCTTCAATTTTTTTCTGTGATCCAGAATGATGCTGTGCATGTTCCGTGCATTCGTTAGTATTCCTTGAAGAACAGAACTCAGCCTTTACACTGTAGAAAACGTTTGTGTTCAGAATGTTTCAAAACCCAAATATATCAATAGTCTGCCGTGTTCCTTGCACTTCTGTAAATAGGCTTGTTAGCCACAAATTGTACTAGTTACAAGCTGTACCTGGCCTGTTTCTGTTTCCAATTTATTTCTCTATTTATACAGTTCTACTTGCTCACAAAAGACTTCCACCTGCCTGATAATTAGGATAAAAGTTACTTCCAAGACTAGTTTGGGGCTGAGATTTTGGAGTACCCAGTTTCACTGAGCCTCCTGGCACAGTAAAGCTTGGTTTCCTACTCTTCTTCAAGCTCCACTTTGTTTCTTTACCTATCATAAACCTAAAATTGCTGTAACAATACAGTAAGTGAATATTTATATAATTACACATTTACTTGTATCTGTGCATATTTGTATATATGCATCTGTGACATACACTATGTAGGGTTTCCACTGAATAGTGCTAAATTTAAAAGATAATGCATTTTAAATCAACATTAGTAATTGTTCTTTACATTTTCCAAATTTTGTTTTCCAAAAGTACTCAGAAAGTTTTACATGTCTGAGTAAACAGTATGCAGCCTTAATACAGTAAACCAAAATTCAAGGCTTTTTAATCTTATAGAAGAGTGGTACCTTAAAGACAGCCTTTAACAAATTTGGCCTAAAATTGACAATTTGAGAGAATATTTTCTCTTTGTTTTCAATGAACATGAGTTCAAAGAACTTCTTTTTAAAATCATGTCATTTTAATTCATTTTATTAGTGAGCTGTATATCATTAAGTAGCCACTTTATCTTTATAGGTTTAATTTTACTTACTTATAAGTAAAAAAGGAAATAATTCAAATTTGTAGAAAAGTTTTTAGGAGTAATACATTAATCAAATGAAAATAACTGATCTGTAACATCAGTTTGTTTCTCTTTTGTCACTTTTGTAGAATAGTTGGCTGGTACCATGTTTGTCCTAGAAACGGTCTGTAAAATACTATCAGATGTTATACAAAATTGATTGTAAGTGTATTTGTTGTTGTTGTTGTTGTTGTTTTAACCTAACATGGAATTTGAATTTTTTTAAAAAAAAATTA